TTTTTAAAAAAAAAAAAAAATTCCGCCGTTCCCTTACAATTTAATTCTTATCTAAATCTTCGGGGGATTTTCGGGGTGGTTCTCGACCTTTGCGCCGTCTTGCAGCGTGAGGACGAGGTCGCCGGCGGCGCCGCCGAAGCGGCGCAGCCACTTCACATCCACCACCTCGCGCCACGTCACCTGTGGACATGTCTCGGACATGTCACGGACGTGTCCCAGACTTCCCACAAGCCCCCTCGCGCCACGTCGCCTGCACCACCTCCTTGGCCTGGAATCCAGACTTGATCTCGAGCCTCTTGTTCGTGATCTTGTACCGCGTCCACGCCTGCGCGGCGCGGCCCGTCGCGGCACCAGCGGGGTGGGCGGCGGGTGTGGCGGGTGGGCGCTCGGAGGCGGGCTGGGTGGCGGCGGGCGGCGGCGGGCGGCGGCGGCGAGGGCGGCGGTGGCGATGGTGGCGGCGGCGAGGGCAGCGGTGGCGAGGGTGGTGGCGGCGACGGCGGAGCGGCTCTGGACCTGCCGGGCGAGCGACGCGCCGAAGGGGATGATGCCGACGACGGTGAGGACGGACAGGCCGGGGATGATGGTCTCGGTGATCGAGGGAGCAGCCTCGTAAAAGGTCTGCTCGGGCACGAGCTGCAGCTGCGCCGCCGCGGACGGCGGTCCCTTGACCTTCTGCTTGGGCTCCTTCGACTTTGCCTTGCGCGGTTTTGCCTTGGACGGCTGCGGGTTGTAGGCCATCGAGACCCGCCGCGCAGCGAGCGGAGCCACTGCCGCAGCCCGATGCGGCGCAGGCGCGGGCAGCAGCAGCGACTCGCCCCCCGGGAGCGAGATGAGAGCGGCGAGGGCGAGGGAGCAATAGCGGGACATGGGTGTAGTCGGGGCGGAGCACAGCACCAAGGAAAACTTTCGCGGATATGTCAGGCGGAAGCAAGAAGAAGAAAAGCTCATCGACCAAGACCAAGAACGAAAGAATCATCAATCAATCAAATGGGTGGAGGTACAAGTGTCCGAAGAGAGAGTGGACCTGAGCAACGACATGACTTGGAGGCAAATGATCGCAGTGGGCGTCAGAAGAGTCGTCCTTGCGCGAGGAGAGCTCGATAAACTCGAGGGGCCAAAATATGCCGCCAGCAGGGCAGAGTTGCGCCGAAATTGGAGATTCGTATTTGGTGTTTTGGTTTCGTAATATCCTCCCGACAGCGCGATCTTATGGACTCATGCGGTCGCTAGCTTTCCTCGCCTACCTGGTTGTCCTTTCGCTGGGCGCGACCGACATGGAGATCCACTGTGCTCAGATCAGTGCTTTTGTCGACTATTGCTCGCTCTCTGTGCACTCGCAACGCCAGAGGCCGTGCTTGGAGAATGCCTCCCAGTGCCACTGCGCCTGTGGATTGAGCCGCGGCGCAACCTCCATCGGTGAGCTGCGGCGGCGCGCCGGCCGCTTCATGCATAGCTCTCCGGCGAGCGGCCGCGAACGCGTTTTCCGTCCGCCGTTTCATCGAGTTTGCCCGAGTGGTAAAATGCAATCGAATTTGCCCGAGTGGTAAAGTGCAACTTTGGCATTTGGTAAAAGTTGCCCGAGTGGTCTGAGAGAGAGATTTTTATTTTTCTTCTTGTGGTCTGTGGGGAAAAAACCAAAGCGGAAGGGTGGCCCCAAGAGCTAAAGGTCAACATCCCCTCCGGCTACGACAATGTGAACCTGATCTGGTCCTCACGGGGTTGACCCGTCTCCTCAGGTAAGATGGCTGTGCAGGAACGTTCACAGCCGGCTGAGGGCCAAAAGCAAAACGCGCAACGCCACTCTCGCATCTCAGAGCGGTGTTCTATCTCAGTAACCCCGCTCGATGGTGCTAGAGCAGCGTTCTTCAAGCTTAAACCCCACTCTACACAACACAGAGCAGCGTTTGCCTAACTTATAGCCTAACAAGACTCCGCTCTGCAACCTTCAGAGGCAGCGGACTCTTGCTCAGAAAAACAACCACCAAACACGTTCGAGCGGAGTCAAGTCAGTGCAACACCGCTCAACATAGCGGGAGCGGTCAATTTCCGCGGAGAGGCTGCTTTCGCCTCCCTCAGTCGCGCTCTCCTTCGCTCCCCCTCTTCAGAGCG